ACCACATTCATTCTGAACTCAAATTCAATATTGGATTTGCAAAATGCCATGAGAATGTGCAGCACAGACGTCAACGATAGGACTATTTTATTCTGCCTGCCAGGTTTTATTATTGAAAAGAAACCGTTGGTTGAGGCTGTGAGGGCCTAATTCATGTGAGACGATATGAAAAGTCTGAATTAATTTTCCTTGACCATGCCAAACCTAAGCATGGGGAGACTGTGGGTGAGGCAGCGAGCGAGAGGTTGGAGGTTGATTGCTGATTTCCATTACTATTTCTAGGACAAAGAAATGGAGGCTTGATGGGCTTGGACATCTATTTAGATCCATTTCATTCTGCCATAATCAGGCTTTAGCCATGGCCTAATACTGAGGATTAGAAAAGGTTCAAAGTGCAAACATCTAGATCCCCCAGTATTATTCCAGTCTGCCAACCTCACTCTATGTGTGTGCACGTGCATGCTTGCTTGCATGCCAGATCTGCTGGGGAGGGTTATCTCTGGAATCAGGCCCATAAACCTAATCTAACCCTCTCTGTGCTCATTCAGGAGTGAAATATTTTGTGCAAATAGGCTCTCCTTTCCTTCGCCCTACTTCGACTCGGGTGTGCTAATGTAAACAAAACCCAGATAGGAATATCGCAGATGTGAGAAGTAGTCGTTTTCTGTTGTGACACTCTGTTTGATACACAAACCTGACAGTGTGTATCTTCATGCTTTGCCTCAGACGGAGTGTGTGCGGGCGGTTGTCCCCCTTGATGCTAAGTGTAAGTGATCAGAATGTGGTTGTGTCTGTTCATGCATTTAGCTTTTTATTAATTTTTTGGGGGAAATGTAGACATTATTGCCGGTGGTTACTGTGACTACCCAGTCCCTGCTCGGCTCAGCTAAGTGGAAGTCTGAATGCTGTGGAGGTAGACGGGGGGGGGCGGTGTGTGAAAGGTAGCCAATGAATGTCACCTCTCATCAATTTTCTCATTAAACAACCTGCTCTCTGTCTGTCACACGGGCTGTATCAATCCCCCCCCTTCGTTCGGCGCTTTGGGCAGATTTGTCTGCACAAAATCACGCGCGCATAGACACGGGACTGACATCCACACACACGGAATAAAAGCAACTCCCCTCCTTCTCCCCACCTGGGCTGGACAGGAATAATAAGCAGTGGATGGAGATGGGGAATGTATTCAGCAGGACCACCTGAGTGACCTCATTTAGCAGACCTGAGAATAAATATAGACCGCCGCGTCGCACTTTAACCTCCGCTTGTTTCGTCTCGACCAGTCTGCACTGCTTCCCTCACACATCTCCCACTACTCCAGGAGCAGTCCTTCCACTCTACCCTCCAACGTCCTTGTGAAATCCGTTCATATGCAAGCATATATGCATGTAAATGTGCTAGTGGTATATGTGAGGTATTGGAACGGGAGCCTTTGTTGCAAGCCAGCTTTTTCCCCCATGAGCTTTTTCTCTCTTGGCTGATACATTTGTACTGTAGATATTTCCCAACATCAACATTTGGCACCTGGTTTCTCTTATGACTTCAGCAGCTGTAGATCTTTTGTTCTCCCACTCTGCGGCCAACGATCCACACCCACAAAAAGGGCCCTAAATCATCGCAAAAAATACAGCTTTGGAGCCTGACCGCTTTATAAAAAAAGAAGCAACATTCCTTCATGCAATGACCGGTTCTTTTGGTATTCTGGACTTCTGACATGGAAAACGGTTTGCTTCACTAAATCATTAGCAGCAGAATGGGAGTCTCTTTGTTCTTCATCCTGTCGTTGCTTTATCCCCTTGTGTTTTCATCTCCACAGAGACACACAGGAAGACCCATTTCCCCAGTTTCCCTCTTTTCCAAAACACGACATAACCGTCGGCCTTTTAATATCTGGAAATCCAGATTTGGATTAACGTAGGGGATGAAACGAGAGAGAGGGAGGGGAATTGAGTGAGAGAAAGAGGAGATTAAATAAAAAAAGCTGGCAGCGTGTCCTTGTTGTGGAGAAGGGTTATGGGGCTTGAGAAACGTGGCGGGCAGTCATCTTTTCTCCGAGTGAACGCTGACATGATAAATGTAAATACAGTGATATGACTCAAGGGATAAAAGGACAAACACAAACTCAGTCTGCAGATTCACTGCACATTTGTTAAATGGACTCAACAGTTGTTTCAGGAGTGGATTTCCATCTTGAAAAGTGTTTAAAAGATGGATGCCCATGAGGAAATGTGGTAAATATTTGACATGGTTAATCGGATTATGAGTTCCCATCGCTATAGTAAAAGCCTTGAATGATATGACGTCTTAAATGGCCTGAATACAAACAGCATATGTAGTGATCATCTCTTTATAAATCCCGCTCTCTTTGGGTTGTTTACATAGACAGAAGCCTCGAAGGTCCATTTCATTATCCTGCCATCATCAGTAATGCTCAGCCAGCCTTAAGGAATAGTTCATTTAGATGACAGAAGTAAGTTAACACAGAGAAGATTTGCTCTCCCTGAGTGGATATAAAATTCATAGCATGACGCTCTCTCTTAGTCAGATTATTCAAGCGCCTTTGAGCTCGGTCTTCAAAGAGCTCCTTTTTGTATAACCTTGCCCTGGAAACGTAAAAAATTGAAAGAAAAGGAGAAATTGGGCGGAAAATGGCAGGATGAGGTTAGCAATTGTGGCAGCGTCGGGGCCATTCAAAGCTGTGAAATGTTGCACCTTTAAGACTGGAAACGGCCCCGTTCACCTCACTGTCTTTGAATGTTCCCCCTTACAAGAGACATGGTCCCTGCACAGACTTTTCATAAATCATAAGACTCACTTAGCCTTGAGTGTTCACTCACATTAACGTCCCACGTAAATTCAAAATCGCTCTGTAGCTGCGCTCGGCTCGGCTTGGCCCCCTCGTATATATTTCAGTGTCCGGTTTACTCAAAGTCCTGTTGAGTCTACAAGCTGGGGGAATTTGCCAAAGAGCTCCTGTCACAATGTTATCACAATCATTCTCGCGGGTTATCACGTACTCCGGCCACACTAACAAAATGTTGTGGTTCGCCGTGTAATTTAGAGGCCGAGAACGATCTGATAATGTAACATAATATTAGCGCAATTCATTATTTAGCTTTCTTCAATTTCGCCCATGCACAAAGCTGAAATCCCAGAGGGCAACAAAATGTCAACGTTAATAATACTAAGGAATGACAAGGCATGAATCAAACAGAGGAGCCTTTCCGTAGTTCCGGAGCCATATTTCAACACAGCTTGATACAACAACAGTTTGTAGCGTGTAGGACCAATCAGAAAATCATGCCATGGAGGGTATGTTTGTTGATGTTAGCAAATTCCCCTCAGTCCAAAGCTCCCTCTTATTGTGTCATCATTAGATAAGCACCCTCTCCCAGACTATCTCATCATAATGAGGGTGCCATCTGAAGCAATCACCCAGGGAGATGGTCATTGAGTTAAGAGGGAGGGAAGGGGAGGGGTAAAGTCAGATAGAGCAGATACAAAATGAAACGAAGTGAGCGGAAAAACAGGGAGGGAAAGAAAGAGAGAGATCAAGATGGATAATGTGAGGAAGAGAAACAAAAGCATTTCAGAGGAAGGGAGTAAGTTGAAACAGCAGACTAAGCGGAGATGGAGATCAATTGGGGAATTCCAAAATTAGAGCTGCCATCGCACAGACAGACGCACCCTCACACACACAGACACACACACATATACACACACACACACACACATATATATACAACCGCCTTGAGCTAGCCGCTTGATGTTAAGGTCAGAGTCGCACTCTGTCTCCCTAGGTCATTATCATGGGCCCCAAAATAGACAGCCAATTGTGTCACAGTGCCTGAAGTGAATGTGACATTGAAAAAACAACCCTCGACCCTGAGCTACTCGCACAAGTCTGAGCAGTATGCACACTTTAAAGGGTACATATTGTGCTTATTTTCAGGGTCTTTTTTTTTTAATCGAGGCTACTACTAAAATATGTTTACATGCTTCAACATTAAAAAAAGGCTGTATTTTTATCATTCTGTCTGTTTTAATAAACCTGTATTCACCATCTAGCTTTTAACGCTCCGTTTTAGCACCTGTCTGCTTCGATTAGCTCGAGAAAAATAGTTTGGGCTTTTTTGCCTTTTAATAAAAAGATAACTTTAGTTAATTTAGATATTCACTCTACTAGGTAAGCTACCGTGCTGCAAGGGATGTAGCATTATCTAATAGTCCTGCATGTGACATAGGAAGGGGAGCCAAAAATGAACCACTCGTTGAATCCTGTTTTCTGTCTGAGGCAGTCCACAAAAAACTCACCGGGTCGTCCTTATTTAATTAATTATGTGTGGTTTGCATTCCAGGTACCCAAATGTATAAGGATTAGCACTGAAACAAGGTATTTTTTCCCAATATCTCCCCTTTAAAACAAATGGAGGGAAGCGGACAAACACACAATCAAATGTGTAAATGGACACACACGCACAGACACACAAACATTAAGGGAGGCATTTAGCTCTCAGCGCTAACAGCAAGTAATGACACATGTGGCTCTGAGGGAGTAAGCTGCTCGAGGACTTGGCAAGAAGCTGGAACTTTCGCTGGCATGTCTCACTGCTCAAGTATGCACAGACAGAAAACACACACACTCACTCACAGGTCTGACCATGTTGCTCCTCTCCACCTCGGCGCCCACCCTCCCTCAGTAGACTCTAATGTTGTTCCATTCATTTGACTTCACTTTATTGTGTTAATGAGAGTTACCGGTGAGAGGAGCTGGCGGTTGATTGAGGGTGAGAACGGCTAATCACTGGAACAGCTAATCAGTGCTTGTCGTAAATATTGATTAGTTCTGTGCGTTATGGACGTGCTCATTAACCAGTGTGTCATCTTCTCTCCTCTTTCTCCCCTTCTTCTCGGCCCTCCTTTACTCTCCATCACCTCCCCCCCCCCTCCTCCTTGTCCTTCACCCACCTCTTCTTTCTCCGCAATCTCCTTCTTTTCTGCAGCAACCTCCAACGGTACTGTGGAGGGCCTGGAGAATCGGGAGGGAGGCGCGTGCAAGAGTCGAGCCATGAAAATCGTCATGAAAGTCGGGCAAGGTAAATGTGTGCTCACCTCACATGTAGAACACACCACAGAGCCGCTGCCTTCAAGCAATGTTTCACTTTGGTGTGACATTTCCATTTATCGCTATGTGAGCCGAGCTTGACTTTGTCTGCCACCGGCCTCCGATACAACCTGCTCTCAAAAACTGCAAAGTTGTGTGATAAAAGACATTTGCCAAGTGTTATTTTTTTTCTAATGAAATACCCTAAGGCTTAGTGATACTTTAATATGACCATTATTGACTTTTAGTGGTGTTTCATCTTTATGATATGTTAATTGTCTTAAAAATGTTTATTTTTGGTGTCCAAATGAATGCTTTCAGGCAAAATCCAATTTAAAAACACTTATTCATAGCATAGCAAAAGAATGCTGTTTGTTTGAGTTAACGTCAGTTTTATAATTTAATAGGGATTTTGCATACATTTGCATTTAATATGCATAAGTAAAAGTAATATATTTAATATTTAATGTGAAAGATATTCTTGTTGGTAAAGATTTCAGTCATATTGCCCAGCTTTACCGTTTACAACCGTTTTAAAATATAGCAGTAAAATAATAGTACATGTTAAGAATGCATTCAGCAAAAGTGTTACCTCTGCGATCTTTAACTCTTATGTAACGCTATGTAGCATTTATAAACATATAAAACACTTTCATGTCAATGCAAGCAAATATAAGAACATTCTAGTTGCTTTTTTTGTATATTTGTATAGGGTTAAAACTTCCCCCACAAACAGTCCATAACCTGTTCATGAATAGACGATGAATGATTGATCACATGAAATAACAGAGGTGCAATCATATTTAATTATATATGATTGCACAGTTTGGCACATGCCTTCAGGAATTAAGTTCGCTCTGCGTTTGCGAGGGTAAAGAAAAGTATTTATGAATAACCCAAATATTGTACTCAACCATGTTTCTTTTTTTAAATGATACAGTTTATATAAATCAGAATCTTAATATTTCACATTTATAACATTTTATAGAAATATTGTTGCTATAGTTATAATGTATAATTATAACTGTCATTTAATAGCTGTCCACTTACTGATGCTTCACAGGAGGACCTATTATAGGTCCTCCTGTGAAGCTATAGGCTATAGTTGGTCACAAAATGTTATAAGTACTGTTTAAGCACACAACTACTGTACATTATTAGGCTACATTATAAACCATTTATTATTGTGATTAAACTGTTTAAAAATGCTAAATATTGGGGTTTAAATGTATTGAAAATAATAACAGTTTAAATCTCTTTCAAATCAGCAGCTATTTAGTTAGTCAAGATTTATGGTTAAATATATACTGTGAAACAATGTTTCCCATATATTATACTAAGATAATTATTGCTGTAATATCTCTGCTGGTATGTGGCCATTGAAGGCAACATTGGAAATCAATAAGCAGGACTTCCTTATAGACCGCAGCATTGGATTTAAAGGATTTTCGCTTCAGTGTGATGCAGTACCCTGCTAAGTCGGGTATTTAGCAAAGTATAAATCTGCCATCTGGTTACTCTGTCTATTCCCAGTTTCTCAGTTGGACATTTAAAACAATACACAATGTATCGATATCAAGCTGTACAATTACATTTACTTTGACACATAATCGTATCCATATTGCCCATCTCAATTGTTCAAGTGCAGTAGTTTTAAATACATATTTTGATTCACACACACAGTTGTCCACATAGTGAGAACACCAAGGAATAACAAAGAAATAAGAAATGACACCACTTTAGATTGTAAAAGAGCCTCTGATATTTCTCAGCTGTTTTTCTACCGGATTCCCATAAAGTAATCACAGAGTGAAAATGTGTTTGAAATTGGTATGTAAGTGCATAGTCGGAGTAAAATGCTTGAAATAAACAAGAGGGCTTTGTTTAGATATCCTTGGACACAACATTTGGTTCACATCACACGTTTCACTTTTTAGACACAGTTTTATTCAGTATGTGGACGTCTATATCCTGAATCTGACAGGACACAGTACACAGATGTGTTACTCTCTAAACATTCCCCCCATCCTCAGTGGGGTTGTTTTGACCGAATCAGACAGTAACCGCCATCTGAGAGGAACATCTGCCCTCCACCATGATCTAACTGCAGCTACAAAGATGCTTCTCAACAAGTCTGATATAAACTTGCTGAGAAATGTGTGTGTGTCTGCAAATGTGTGTGCAGATATTTGAATGTTGGCTAGTTGGATGACAGCAGTGCGTCCTGGCAGTCGGTGTGAGAGGGGAAGCTAACAAGCTGCTGATGCTAGCAAGGTCTGAGTCGCTACAAATTAGCAGATACAGAGAAATATACCCACAACCACCACGGAAAAACAGACAAGCGTTGCATTATCTTTCCATGTAGGTCAATTTGAGCATCCGACAGTGCCGGATTGCAACACCATCGCTAAATGACAACACGCCTGCATGAAGCCAGGCAACACAGACTTTTTGCACTAAACTATTAACTGAGAGAAAGTAAATCCCTGAACTCGCATTAATGAAAGTTGAAAGGGAATGTCTGATTCGATGAAAGTTCTAGGAAACTTCACCTCATCTCGAATCCTGTTCCTCGACTTCGCCAGAGCCAAGCGCTCATTTCCCAAAACGGTCCGAACAAGCTGTCACTCACAAACGATGTGTCCTAAAAACCCTGTTAGAAAAAGACGATGTTGGCCCAGCTGTTACTACTTTAAACATCTATTTCTGTGACGGAATCTTTGATTTGATAAATGCCCATCTAACCCAGGAACTATTAGAGGAAAGGACGTGGGAAATTAGAGCGACGACAGGAACTTTGATTTAGCTTTGTTCTACTTCTAAGTGAGTTTTCCCCTGAAAAGTTAGAATTAGAGCTGCCGCTGACAATTATTTTCAATAATTGATCAGTTAATTGACAAATCCATGAATTGAAAATACTACAGTTTGCTCAATGTCATTTCTTAAAGCCCAAATGATTGTTACTGAGTTCGGACTTTAAGTACAATTATAAGGTACTTGTTCCTTTCACATTTATCAGACAGCTATCGTTACTACTTACTTAAAATAAATATTGCATAAAAAAACGTACCAGTATTTAACATAAACATTGAAAATATCTAAGATCAAATGTGCTCCACCTTTAGCAACTATATAGCTAAAAATGCTACTTATACATTATTGAATCAGTCGTTAAAATAAAAGTAAACTCTAATAAACAATTACAGGGACCATTTCTCTACAATAAGGACCCTTACCTTTCAAACTTCAACAACATTGAAGCAGAAAACATTTTGCTGGTAATATATATGCATAGTTTGAACTATAACGCAGGACTTTAACTTGTAACAGAGACTTTTCACAGCTTGGTATCGCTTCTTTCGCCTAAGTAATGGATCTCATGTATTAACCATTGGATGACAACCAGGGAACCATCTGACAAAGGAAAGCATTGATTACTAATTAATAGGGCTGGGCGATTTTTTCGGTTTTCACGATTAATTTGCATTTTGACTTTCCTACGGTTTGTGAAATGGCTGAACCGAAAAATCGCGATTTAAAAACATTTCTAGACTCCGCAGATTTGTTTTTGCTTTAAGGGACTCCGTAGTAGCTTACTCTCTCACTTTCCAGAACGCGCCCAAAATTCAGCCACATTGCCTGTGACTACCCGATCTGCAGCTCTGCCCGATCTGCTGTTGTTATGCTGTGTTCGTTATTCTCGCGTCCAGGAGAGAAGCTTTAAAAGGAGACTAAATGGAGTCTCTGAGAAGGTTCAAATGGTGCTTTAATTAAAAAAGCTCTCGTGAGCGAAGGGAAGAGAGCGAGCTCCACCTCTCCAGCTGATATATCTCCTCCGCTGGCTCGCTGTGGGCCGGTTGGCGCTGGGAGCCGGCCCTCCACGTCTCCAATGTTCGTTGTTGAGCATAACAGAGGACTCCGACATTGTACATTAAATATATAACTAAACACGCCTGTTCTCCTCCTTATCTCTTTCATGACTTTTCATTTAATACATTTTAAACGCTGTAATCAATACTCCAAAAATACAGGAAATACTTCACGGCTGGTTTCATTTACGGTAGTTCCGGATGTTGTCTCATACTACTACCCACGTCTGTAAACAAACGTATTCAAATAAACTGTACCTTCATTTAATATTCAGCAATAATAATATCTCCACGTCTATAGTTGTAGTGTTGAAATCAGTATGTTTTGGTGTGCAACACTCCGTGTCATATCGCTACTAAATTCACCTCTATAGTAAATGGTATATTAGCCACATGCTAAATGCTAACCGTCCGGAGATGAAGGATTTTCAGAATAAAACTGGTTGTGCACAAGAACTTCTAGTTTTTCAGTATAAAACAGCATTTAAACTGACGGTATGCGTAACATTTATGATATTAAAACACATTTTACACCTCACCGTGTTTTATTCTTATAGAAGTAAGAAGAGAAGTAATGGGGCAGAAACCCTAATTTTTACGCATTTTTTGCAAAGAAAATATGTATTTACATTTTGCCTTGGTCTGGTTTGTTTAGAAAAAAACAGAACAAAATCGAGGTTTAAATCGAAAATTGTCCATTAGTTAGAAAAAAATCGCGATTTTATTTTTAGGCCAAATTGCCCAGCCCTACTAATGAACCAACTAACCATTCAACTGTAAAAAATAAGCAGCCAGTGAAAAGTCGTTTTTTGCTTAAAGTATTAATAGATTTATTGACCAAATGGTTTGCGGAAATGAATAACCCAAATTTCAATGTATACGTTTGGGTAATTAATCAAACGTTTTCTAGCTTCTGACAAGTGGAAACTGTTGCTTTCTCTTTATGCTTTCTGTTCATACTACATCAGTATTTGCGGCCCTAGAGACTCTACCTTCTGCCGCCACGCTTGATGTTGTTTCACTTAACAAAAAATAAAATGTGGCTCTTCTTGGCCCTGACCTCAGATGCTATTGTGTTTAAGCCACATTTCCTCTGCAGCTGAATGCCAACACTTCCTGCAGCCAAGTGCGAGTCCCCATACTGTGTGTCCACTCGAGCACCTTTACACTCTGCTCTATGGATTATATTTCAGTGACTCATCCTGCATTCTTTGCATTGTGCTTTCTTGCAGCGACACTCCCCTGCTTTATCAAGATGAATCATTGGTTTGTGGGAAATTATGCGCCCTAACACGTCAATATCTAATTGTACTTTAAACGGCTCCTGTTCCGTCTTTTGTCTTTATAAAAAATGTAAAAAGTGGAAAGGAAGTGAAATTGATTGCAGGGGAAACACAGGGGGAGCCCATATTTTATACATCCATCTCTGTTCGGCGCTCTCTTTCTCCTCCAGCACATCATGTCACCGTGCTCATTAGAAATATGTTGACTCACCGCCTCATCTCTCCCTCTAACTGTCTCGCTCTCTGCTGTAGCTCCATCATTGTCTCCCTCACTCTCCCCCCTCCTCCTCGTCCTCCCTCCTTCTGGCGGGCTGGCAGTTCTGAGGTAGTTGCTGTCTGCATAGCTAAGGGAAATGTCAGCAGTACACACAGAAAAATGGGTCAGAACATTAGAACGCTCCCTGCACATGCTCAGTGTTGGGTTGGGGCTATGTGCGAGTGAATCAGATCACTGTGTATCCTCTGCCGTACGTGAATGTTCCCACTTCTCACTCCTGTCTCTTCTCATTAATTATTGACGGAGCACAACAGCTCTCGGCTAGGTTCACTACTACTGCAATCAGAATGGAGCAATGCGGTGGTCTGGACATGGAGAAGATAGAGGAGGAGGGGATATTGTTAATAGTGAGGTTATGTTCCTCTTGAAACAAAGAAAGATATTTCCGCTTCATTTATGTCCCTCTTTGACTTATTTCCATATTATTTTTCATATCTTCCAGACATCTCACACAGAATCATTTCCCTACCGACTCGGGCTGAAACTGAGGTGGAAATATAAGATAGACTGACAGGCCCTCTCCATTCTCACACACAGATGCACGGCCACACAAAGTTGCCACGAGGGACTCAAATGTAAATTGCCTCCCCACACGCCCTCCTCTCTATTTCACACACACACCCCTCAGAGCGGGCCTTGGGGTAGATGCAGATAAGGCCTGATGGAGCAGCAGCATCTGATAGTGTGCTGTGGAATCCATCTGACCGGCTTCAGTAATAGTTTATAACCGCTCCCCGTCTGCCGGCCCTGCCCTCGTAAAAGACACGCCGCGGACCCACCGGTGTTTACCGCACAAAGACTTCAAAGTGCGTGTGCTAAAATCACAACAGACAGACAGATAAACTGTCTGTTTCCTTAGCTTTCCCCTCAGAGCTTATACAACCCCCTCCTCGCCTCGTCCCTAACTCTTCCCGTCCTGCTATTCTCTCCTTTTCAAAAGTGTGCTTCTTTGTGGCAGAGTTAAATCCAGAGCAATAAATAAGACATATCATGGCCTTTTAACGTGATGAATAATGTAAAACAATAAAAAGTTAATATATAACTGCTTTACCCTCATTCTGCCATGCCTAAGTGTATTGTAAGTATATGTGTGGGCTTATGTGTGTTCACTGGCGTGTGTGTGTTATACGCTCTCATGAATGTGTCAGCGTTGGAAATGCCTGTCTGAGTGTTTGCTGAAGGAGCTGCTGATGTAGATGTGAGCTCATTTTTTACGACAGGACAGGGATACTGGCGTGTTTCGCAGACATTCGCTGACTTGTCCTTCCTTTTTCTGCTTTCATCTTCACTTCTGAGACAAATTCAACACATGCAAAGACAGCCTTCTCTGTGCATGAAAGATATATGGAAAGATAATAAAGAACAATCCTTGCAGATGCAGAGGGACAAGTCATTGTGATTCAGCGCATGTAGCTCACCAAGGCTGAGTTTCTGTGTGTTTTCTGTTTCCCACAGTCCCGAACGCGAACCCTGCGGCGCCGGAGGTTCCAGAAAACAACGCCATCCCGGAGTCCAGTCCCAGTCCAGCCGACAAGGGACGAGTCGGCCCTGAGATGCCAGGAAACTCTGGTGAGCAGAGTGACACAGCAGCATTAAACCCAGAAACTGCAGCTTCAGACTCTTTACAGAATGCCTACTAGTTTCAAGAGTGCACATAGTTTAGCAAAATAAAGGTTTTTGAAGTGTAAAAAGAAGAATATTCACAGCCTTGAGGCTTATTCTAATAATTCCTCACAATTAGCCTGAAAAGAGAAAATAAAAATCATGTTTTTGTCTCCCAAAGTAAGCATTCTCTCTCATGGCTTTTTCACGCCGCAGGCCTTCCTTTCATATCTGGGGGTCAACTTGCAAGAAAGATGTTAAACCAATGTAATACAGATGGAAATCATAATCCCAAAATGCAGCTCACAATAAGACAATAAGAAGACACGCCCGAAACAAATACAGCTCACCAAAGGTTACTTTCTTATTCACACTGTACACAAAGCACTTGCTGCGCCCAAGGAGACTCAAAGACATTCCCCTTTATTATATATCTTCTTAAACCTTATTAGAATTGCAGACAAATGAAGATTAAAGCGAAGATAATTGAAAGAGTCACTGGCGCCCCCTCGGAGGCTCTGGGCCTTCCTTGTTTCCTGTTTTCACCGGCACCTTTCATAACTTCCTTCCACAGAAGGGACCACTTCTCAACTTTTTGACTTACTCCACAACTTTTGCACGCCACAAAACCTCCCCCAAGTACAGCCTGTCCCAATGTGATAAGCTCCCCTCATTTAATAATTGCTTATTTGACATTAGTTGCGCTATAAAAAGATTGCCTAATGTCATTTTTTCGCCATACCCGGGCTTTTACCTGTCTACCATTGTTAGATCAGGGATTATGTCAAGTGAATAAGTGGAGGGTGGAATGAAGGACGTGTCAGTGTGGTTGAGGGGCTGATATTTCAGGAATGAAATGTCTGACAGCCTTGCTCCGGATCTCTCCGTGCAGCACACAGAATGTACGAAATTCCTCGCGCCTCTGATTTCATAGATAAGCGTGGAATCGGTAGCTCTGTGATGTCATTTGGTCGTGATAAGGCCCAGTTATGCCCTCCTCAATACATGGTTATGTGCGGAGTGGTCAGCCCAGTGAGGAGACACAGTCATTAGTGGGGATGGTAGTCTCCAGAGGTATGAGGCTTTTGTGTGCCTGTTGGGGGGTGGGGGGGTCATGGACAGTAAAGAGGTGGTGGGAGGAGGTGAGTGCTGCTCTTTGGCAGCAGCTGCATGCATACATGGAAAACAGATTTGGTTCTTCTCGGATTTCAGTCACTAGAGGAGCCAGTCAAAGCCCCTCCCCTTCTCCTCCCCACCCCATCCTGAACCCCTTAGACGAAAAGGATAAAATAAAATCAGATGTTAAGATATTGCCTTCCCCCTTTTTTTTATCGTATCTCACTTGGCATTTTCCATACAAATCTTGGCTTGTGCATTTTGGATCTTATCAGAGCAGAGATCTTTGTCATGTTGAGTGTTGTTTGCAGATTTCATTAGGAGTCTATTTTGAATAAACTAATTCAATTAGATTACATCAATGGGGCCGTTATGCCATGTAGAGCAAACAACATACAGGGATATGATCACAGTTGATTTAGGCACAGAACAGTAAGATCTGAACATGACAACGCTGGCTCACTGAAAATTATATTACTGCTGCGATTGTTCGGAAGTCTCTTAGGGACTGTATGAAAATGATTGGGGTGGGGTGCTGACTCGTAGTCCCTACCCCTTCTGTTACAGAGAAACTGCATTATCTCAGAATAATATATTTAGTGCAAACTTAACACAATTATGAAAACCAAGCCACTCTTTTTTTTTTTTTAAACAAGCTGCTAAATAAACAGTTTTTCTAGCCTCAAAATATTTGAGCATGGAACCGCTGCCGGGGGGCTTGTGCACTGCATAGTTTCACCCCGCCCCCAGTCTTCTGCATTGGTCAAAATGCACCTTTATGGCCCACATGGAAGCCATCTTTTTTGATGTGCCTATTTGGGCTCTCTTTTTATATAATAAATCTCACAGATATGAAATAAAACTAAAAGGGCACTCAGAGAGCCAAGACCCCGCCAAGGCTGTCTCCATAAGTGAAACATAATGTGTATCCACCCTGTGTTTTTGATCTGCTCCAAAATGTAATGGGTTCTTCCTTGGCCCGTGCTACACTGTTCCACTGTGTTTCATGAACATCGGGCCATTCGTTTTTCCGTGATATTGCTGACAAACAGACAAACCGCTAAAATGACCAGAAGAAAAACTCTTTGGCGGGGTCATAAATATGGGGTAAATAAAACCAAAATAAAACCTTCTGTTGTCCTCCAAAATAAGTATGGCTGCCCTTCCTTCAGCAACAATAAAATAACTAGGGGTGCACCGAATGGGAAATTCTTGGCCGAAACCGATACCGAAAATAGGAAACAGTTGGCCGAAAACCGAATGCCGAAAATGATCAATAGAAATATATATATATATAATGGATACATTTTTTACCAATGTTGTTCAGCTACCTGATTATGGAAATAGACATGATTATGGCAAAACTTAACTTAAATAATAATCACTATTATGGGTCCATAAAACATTTATTCAGCACTTTTGAATGCATACAGTACATTTATATATGTCATGTATTATTGCTAAAAAACATTATATCGCAGTCTTAGTGTCGCCAACTCGTTTCTAATATGCAAAGACAACAAATGCGTCTATGATGTATTTTCGATCAGACGAGATCTCTCCCCCGTCTGTGTGCGAGGGGGCGGGGCAGTTTACACACACGCAGCTGCTACATGCAGCGGAGCACACTGCGGAGATGGCGGAGAGAACGCGCTCCGAGGTGTGGTTAAACTTTACCCGTCTCGATGTGGAGAATACTTGTTACCATAAGTGCAATAAGAGTTTAGCATGTAAGCACGAGCAATTTGTCTAAACATTTAGCAAAAGTGCTCCACATTCAGACGGAGGAATGTACCGGGTTCGACCGTCTTTCTAGCAGCTCTGTAGCCCCCATCCACGAGTAACGTTTCCACGTCAGGTGTTATGTATGCTAGCAGCAACACACGGAGTTAACTACATGATACAAACATGGGTTAATGATTAGAGGAAACTGAGTTATTTAGTTTGTTAATATTTCAGCTATTCTGTTTACAGTCTGTCATCAGATTATTTAATACGATTTGTTAAAGGCTCAGGGCAATCTCGATGACAAAGGTCAATGTCCCCCCCCCCCCCCCCCCCCCCTGTGAGCCAGCCTTTTTAACCATTTTCGGCCGATAATTTTCGGTGGCCGAATATTCGGTGCATATCTAAAAATAACGATACCTTTCCTGACCCCCCTAGTAATTTATGTGCAGTCCCTAAGCCCTCTCTTTTTGTCTCTCTCTTTAGACACCATGAATCAGGACCAGTCCGGTTCTTCGGGCAACTCGGACAGCTTCCTCAGCTCCAAAGTGGCCTTGTTCTCCACCATTGGGGGCGGCTGCATCATCTTCCTCCTGCTCATCCTCCTCCTCATCATCTTGCTAATCAAGATGCGCAAGCGTTCCAGGAAAAATGCCCACTCGCAGCCCCGACCCTCTGCGCTGTCACTCAGCACGCTGTCCAATCCCAAGATGCCCGGGGGCACGGCTGGCACGGAACCAAGTGACATCATCATTCCGCTGCGGACAGAGAACAACTACTGCCCTCACTACGAGAAGGTGAGCGGCGACTATGGCCACCCCGTCTACATCGTCCAGGAGATGCCGCCGCAGAGCCCTGCCAACATCTACTACAAAGTCTGACGAGCTCCGCACAGCCAGCCACACAGCCGGGAGAGAGAATGAGAGGAGCGCTTGATTTATGTTCTCGGGAAGAACACTTTCCTTGCATTTTTGGGGACTTGATGCTTCTTCAAGCCCGTGTTATTTCTACCACCTGCTGCACAAATCTGGAGAGACACGCACTGACATGGGGTCACGAGCTGACTGCTGAGAAAGGTTTATTCCGTTTGTTTGGGGTGTCTGACAATCCCCACCTGCCCCTCATCCTCCCCACCTTACTACCTTCTATATCTCCCCACTGTGCTCCAACAAGGGAGGGAGGCGGGGCTGGAGCGAACCAACAGATGGGACTCCAGCTTCCTGGTCCGCTGTCCCCTTTAACGGGCAGGATATAACTTATCTCAGTTCCCTGAAGTACAGTCTGTGCAACACCCAATTAAACACACCACGACAGCACACTAGGCAGACAAAGGCCCCAAAAGCCACTCAGCCTGCAGTTCATGTGCAAGCGTTAATAAAACGTGTGTTTGTGTCTGCGTGCATGTGTGTTAGTAGTCCGGGCTCCGTGCTGGGCCAGGAAACTCTCCAGATAGCTCAGGTATCAGACATAGTGTGTGAAATAACGTGTTTCCTCTCCCTTCGCACCTCTGATGTTTGCCTTACTTACTATTTTTGATGGAGGATTTCCATGAAAACCCTGATTCAGTTCACAAAGCAGTTGTATTTTGTTAGACTTTTCCTACAAGTGCACAATGTATAGAGTTGAATAGATCATCATTATAACTCCATCTTATCACAACCACCACCCACGTCATCCATCGAGTCATCCGATATATTTTTTCCCTAGAATACACCTCGACTGTTGACGTCGAGGTGTGTATGTGTGTGTGTATCCTGGAAGAACTCCCTTCTCCGCTGGTCTGATATCAGCTTTATCATTACTCTGGTATTTATGACCTACTTGTGTGTATTTAAAGGTGTGTCCTCCATGTGTGTGTGTGTGGGTCCGGGCATGTCCAGACCAGTCCTGTATCTGGGCAGAATTACTGGCTTAGAGGAAGTTACTGTATCGTAAAAGTTCAAAAACAGACAGACAGACAGACAGACAGACAATCCTGAGATCTTATAAAACCCTGCCACCCTGTCAGTGCTCCAGTTGGCACCCATCGAAGGTGTTTTTGAGCTTTAGGGTAGATGTGTATCGAGACAGCAGGCAGGTTGATATTCGTTTGTTCTGTCTTCTGATGCTCCGGTGTAACATCAAACGGTTAGATTGGTGCGTGCTGCTGCCTGGGCAGGGTTGGGCGTAGATGGTGTGGTCGCCACTGATTGGCTGGCCTACATAGGTAGGACGCCCTATGAGTTGGATGGCGAGCTACGGTCGAACATTGGGATACAGTATTGCGAGAGGCCAATTGGCTGCCATCTGTAGAGTCAGTGGTGTCACCAGCGTGTGAGTAATCTATGTGCCATCTCTGTGCCCACACTGTGACTTGGCTATAACCTGAGAGGAAGATGGCAGTGCAGATGGGGATAAGGGGTGGGGGTAGTGATGGTGGACGGGTGGGTAGAGGTATTTTAGCATTCATTTTTTCCATCCTCTCCCCAGTTGTGCCGTGAATAAAAATGCTGTGCAGAATGTTCCTCAGTCAAGGTGTCGAGCCGGCGAGGACACTGCAGCTCAGCTATCTCACAGCCCAGGGCAGCGGCACCGAGACAGGATTTACTGCGGCTGGATGTGTGCAAAGCGAAGCTTGCTTTAGGTGGCGGTGGAACCTGTCTATGTGCACATGTAAATGCTTTCTACGAGCTCATTTTTGCTTATAATTGCAGTTTTTCTGCGTGTGTGTGTATGTGTATGAATGCATCTGTGGTGTAGAAGCCCAGCAGATTTGTTTTTTGGGGACTGGAACTCCTAACTGTGGCTGCCAGAGTACGGAGCGCCGCAGTCCCGGTTAATGATGTGTGAGAGGAGAGGGGAGCAGATAAGGACAGCTATTCCTCAGCACGCACGCTCGAGCTGACGTTTGTCGCACATGTACAATCACACACACGCACAGACAGGCCGAGACTGACGGGTCCAGGTTTATCTCCAGTCAAACGGTCAGGCTGCCTGGTGAATGTTTATTCCCCAGCAGAGACACCAATCACCCGCTGCCACATACCGTTGCCATCCACGGATATACACTGCTGAGTTAAAAGGCAGCCCTGCTTGAAGACTCCGGGAAGACTCCAGTGGCTTTTGCGTGTCGTTAACCTCGGAGTTAACAGCCTAAACAGCTGCTCGTGCTTTTGTGGTCCTGTGTTTTAACTCAGCATGCGGCCCTCTGTGAAACACATTTAACTCAAATATTTTTGTTTCGGATCGGTGCGCATCCATTCACCTACACCAGCCAAGGGAGTCATTACCAAATGACCACCATATTTCATTTTTATTCATACTAGTGACCACTCAATGTTATTCAATTTGTTTTGGGGAGAAAAAAAAAAAAGGATAAATGAGATAACAGAGAAATGTAAATATATGGATAGAGCCCAATTTAAGATGTAATTTCACCTGAACACTGCTCATAAGAAGAATTTAAGATTAGATTTTTGTAATGGAGGATGTTTGTAAATAGTTGTCTTTTTAAAGTGTGTTTTGTATGAATCCTTGCATTTTTGTCTCTGTTTGCAATATGTTTTTATTTTCTTTTAGAGTTAAACTGAATATTGCAACAGACACAAGCTGTTTTTTTTGCAGCGTCCAGTATTGTCAAAAAAGTCTTTGTTACCACACGTGTTAAAGATAAAAAAATAACTGGTGTTCAGAGTTTTAACATCGCCATTCAACAGAATTCTAGTTGCTGTAGAGAAACTGTTCAGGACTGAAGCTTTGCCACGGAGTAGCTTTGAAATGGATAGGTCATTTAAACTATGGATGATAAGGCCCTTTCCCTGTTGGAGACAGCACTTAACTCTGCATATGAAGACTGTGTTATTCCACTGCCTTTGAGTTCCCTACACCTTCCACTCCATTATTAGATGTAACAAAACATTTTGGTCCAGAAAATGAATCTTTTCTCATTTTTAATAAGTCTATCGGGCTTGACGGAGAGAGACGTAAAGCGAGTGGGAGAGAGGAAGGAGAAAAGAGGCCACGTATGAGAGTGTGACCGTTCTGCGCTCACCATAAATCATCTGCTTTACTCCACTCATTATCTCCCAGGCGGTCCTTTGTTTTAAAGTTGCTCTCTCCCTCCTTTCCTAATTTAGCACAAGGATGTTGGTCGCTCATGGTATGAGCCTCTCACTGTAGGTTGATTTCTGCTATTGTTCAAAGCCACAGTATTATTTTTCAATGTGCATGTGTAAGCAGAACCTGTTGAATTTATTTCCCTTTCTTTGAATCATAACTGTCAAGTTTTGTTATTTTATTTTGTTGCCATTCACTTCTTTCGCCACTTCTCAGCGTAACATATTGGCACCAGCTACAATCGAAATACTGTTCCACCAGTTTGGAAACTACCGCATATTGATAAATAAAATTTTTCCCATGGAACTTGTTCTGGAGTGATGTTCTTACTTCGTTGTGTTTCCTTCAAGCTTAACAAATGTGGGTAAAATATTTCATTTGCCAACTCATTGACCACCCTGGTTCCTGGTGGGAGCTTAAACCAGCCGCCCACGCTCACTGCACTTCCTCACTGCACACACAATCCCCCCCCCCCCCCAAACCCTCACCTCAGGGGTCAGTGCTGCACAGATGGGTTTGTTCTGATACATTAGTCAGATTGAAATCACAAGCAGGCTTCATAAATTCATATTCGTGGAATATTGACACGCCTTTTTGCATAGTAACTAATACCCGTATCAACCCGCTCTGCCCTGGTGTCCTCCAGAATTACATTTCTTCATACATGATTAAATCTGATTGGCTGCAGTCGACATTTCCATTGCGTTAGTCTGAAATTACAGTCTGCATTTAGCCGGCTGAGGAACAATCTCCAAGTCCTTGGTGAAAGCAGAGATGGCATGAAATGTTATTAAAGTGATCGGCATTTTCTCTTGACAAACACATCAGTGTTTGTGGGTATGGCTTTCGTGTGGCTGATGATGTGAGCAGAGACGGAGTGGGCGAGTGAACAGACTGATGGCAGGAGAGAGAAAGTAAGGGCAATGAGAGACATAATGTGCCTGTGGCTTGACTGTCCCCCCCCCCCTCCCTCACTCACACCCCCATCCTCACTGATTCTCTCTCTGAGCCTTGGGGCAGGTACGTTCATCTGGTTTCCTGGCTCCGTCCCGAGACGCCCCCATAGCTCCACGTTACTGTGGGTTTATTAAAACCTTCCCCCCACTAAGCTTCTGTGTGTGACTGCATGTTTCACTGTGAATGTCTGTCTGTGTGAGAGAGTCTTATTTGTGTGTAGACCTGTGTCTCTAATTTGCCAAAGGGCTCTACTGTTGTTCTGCAACAGAGTCAACATCACAGAAATACGGAAATATTACTGTTACAGCATGAACTGCAGCATTGTTAACTCTTCATGTTTTAATAAATGCATCATCTATATAATTATATATAGCTTGATATTCAATTGTCTAGTAGTTGATGCAACAGGTCAACATGCTATGTTGTATATATTTTTGCTGCATCATCCTTAGCTCCTTACAACATCATTCAAGGGTTGTCTTTTCAAAGCAAATCTCTCTGTTTCAGAGTGCAATAAACCACCACTGTGGTATATATGGACAGCTGTACTCATACATTTGTTACGATACCATTACTTATGACCAACTCCGCTAAATGGCCAAAAATCAAGCAACTGTGAAAGCTCGAGACATAGCAATTTGGCTAACATTACTAACCTGGTTCTGTTGCCTTCAGGCCTGCTTTGCTTCTAATGAGGCACAGCATGCAACACACCCTTCCCCAGGCCTGCAAGCATCCTCCCAGCACTCCAAAGATACTGTGCCAACTATAACACTGCTCCAGTGCTGAAAATTCTCTGTCTTAACAGCACGGCTATCTGAGCTAACCCCTAGCTAGCTAATGGCAGCTACTGTTAGCAGTAGTTAGCGTCACAATAGCAACGAGCTAAACTATATTCATCAGCAAACTAGGTAAATTACAGCGAGTCCAGAGCCCATCCGAGGAGAAAACTGAAACATTTTCTCCATAAAATATCAATTTAGCGCTATAAATTCTTACGCTCTCCTCCTGGGGGATTGTACGACCGGAGTTACACAGTGCAAGGGCGCAAAGTGGGACTGACAGAGGCCCCATTCTCCCTATTACAGTCAGTGTAGATTTTGAAGCTGTCACTTTAGGCTAAAATTGTTACATAATGTAGCTTAACTGTCACTGTTTTTGCTTTTAGGCACTCACACTCTACTTGATTTGCATATTTAGTCACCAGTGTATTTTAAACTACGGCTAAAACACTCTTGACTTCTAATTGATGTGAGCATGTGTAATTCCCCACCTTTTGTTCTGATTGTATAACATGGTTGCTCACATGTCTTTATAGAAACAAGTCGCCTGGGAAAGCAACATCTGCCAGCAGTTTGAGGTGGCTTGGGAACAATTTAACTTACACTCATTTCTACCCATGGCCATGAATGCTAATAAGAAAAAAGAATTTCCAAGAAAGCTTTTTTGTCAAGTTCATTTTTTTTTAGCTTTTGTAATGTGGAAAAGAAGTAAATCACTGGAGACTATCTTAGAGTCACCTCTGAGGCATTGAGACCTACAATCAGGGCAAACTTGCATTTTTTATGTGGGAATTGAACTTCCTTCTTAAGCCAGCGAGAACAAATTACATAATATAAATTAATATATATATATTCGTGAGGAAGCAAAGATTAATGCATTCTTGAGCTAAGTAATTCATTTTAGATTGCACTGATGTTTTCTTTCTTTTGTCGGCAACATAAGTATAGTTTTTATCATTTTGTTTGCTACTACATCACTGCCTGCAAGACGAGTCGCTTCAATTCCTGATGAGGACACGTGGCCAGTGAAGCTCGTAAAGAAGCCTTGGATGGAAAATAAAGTTGTCAGCAGGAGATGAAAAGTGATAGCTAACCAGATGAGGGAAAGAATTCAATAACACTGGTACGATCCCTTTAACGGCGTCAGTTGGCACCACATCTTACTTTCCCCCTCACGTTATTTCACACACTACGCTCCCACACAAAATCTGCTGCATGTGCAGACGCTACCCTTGATCTGTTGAAGCCAAGTTCTGCAATTTCTCGACTGTGACAATGCATCGGGTGAGGAGGGCGGGGGGATCCGTCAATATAGCTCTTAAGAGATTTTGGTTTGCCATCACTTAATGTTTTTTTTGTTCATATGGATCGTGCAGGAGACTAGTAACTCACACCATAATCAATATGACATGCTATGGGACATGTTCCTTCTCATGTAATGTACATATACATATTTAATGAGTTAATGCATCACTCGCCAGTTATAAATAATGCAGGCCCACTAATGCCTTTCATCAAATGTTGCTCATCAAATATCAAGCAGATTTTTGGTCCGTCTTAGAACTAAATAAGAAACCTGAGATGGGGCAAAGAAGCGGAAACTGAGAGAAGAAAATCCATGAAAGGCAAGTTCATTTGTCAAACAGTAACATATGGATCGCTCATGAAAGGGCTAATTAATGTGATTCAAATTCCAATCAATTGCGGGAAACTATATCTAAACAACGTTCCTCTTTAATCCTGCAAAGGGGCAGGAAACAGGAATTCTACCATAACGTCTTGGCTCTCTTGGGTTATGCTTCATTTTTACGTTTCATTACACACACATACAGCCGTCAGCCACATATTGATGGCATTGTTATGACCAGAAAATGCCTGATCAGACCCGGGCTATGGCAGAGATCCAGGTCTAACCGAGACTCATCAATCATATGGGGAAGGAGGGAACCTAAGAGACTTACACACATAAGAAAGGCACACACGCGTGGGAGAAATAGCTGTTGCGGCTGGCTGCTGGGTCACAGGTGTGGAGACCAGGGAAGAAAGTGGGAATTATTCCCTTTCTTCCTTTCCCGCCTCCCCTTTAAAGAGAAACAGCTCGCTCTCCTTGCCTCCCTCCCTCCCACGTCTTTGAAAACATCCCATTTCCATCCAGATTTCCTTCAACCAATTTAAAACCCACACTTCATTCGCCCCCTCAGCATCGCCACCCCTCTCCTCCTCCATCTCCTACTCTCAATTAGGCCATGCCTCGAATCTCAGGCATTATCTCTGCTGGCCATTTATATAACATGACTCCAAAACGCATTTGCACAATTTTCCAATTACAGTATGATGCCTTGAAGCTTTGGTTCCTTCTGTCTCTCTCATTTCCCCCTTTCACTCAAACTGCTCTTGATGTTTAGCACTACAAAAAAGTCACCCCGACAAATACAGACACGTTTATACATTAAAGTAATGGCCTCTGTTTTCTTTCATGCATGACTGATGTTTATGAAACTATATTTTAAACCTGTTTTTAAGGATTTGTGTCTTGGCCTCGGTTGACTGACAGGTGGTTGAAGGACAGGAAGCTCTGGAGGTATGTCCTGCAAAATCCAAGAAACAAATAACTGTAATATTTACACATTACAATAAAATGAACTGTCACTGGCATACTATTCAGGAAATATTACATGTCAATTGACTCAAATCCTGGGTAAAATCTATTTAAAATGTAAACTTTTTGATAAAAACGTTATATAATGGTATGATGTTTGAAGAACAGCTCAGGGTATTGAATGAAACTTAATAATATATAAATACAAATTAAAAGCCTTAAATTAAAAGGGAAAATGTTTGAGAATACCTAAGAAAATTAAATCAAAACGTGAACATATTTAATGAAAAGCTGAATATATCGACTTAAAATATTTGTTCAAAAGCTGACAGTATTTCATGAATATTTAAAAATAGTGAGCAAAGCAACAAAGAGACTTCTGAAACTAAATTCAAATCAACAATTAACAAAACTTGACAATATTGATTACTATGAATGATTAAAGATAGCATTATGCTGTAGCATCTTTTGTATACAGATAATCAGTATTCAGCCTTTAGCATACTGCTGTCATTCAAAAGAGTGCTAAAGGAATGAGTCTTGAATCGTGAAATGAGTAAGCATTTGTGCAATTCTGATTCCATCTCAGGTCTGACAACGGCTTGGAAACTACAGTTGCAATTTGTATCGCCTGCCAATCAGAGGAGACTGGGCTTTTTCAGGAGGGGCTCTTAAAGAGACAGGTGCATCAAAACTGAGCATTTCGAAAAGTAGGTGAATACAGGTATATTGAGACAGAGAGTATGCAACAAAGAAAATTCGTTTTTAAAGATTAAAGCATGTAAACATGTTCTAATGGGAACCCAAAATAGAATTATAAATAAATAAAAAGAGCATTAAATGTATTCTTTAATTATTGATGAAATAGCTGCTCATTGGCAGTTCACGTATTTATATGTGCAAACAGTAAAGGCAAAATGCTTGTTGATAATGTTCTCAGTGGCAGTGGCGGTAGTAACATACAGCAT